AGCACGACCTACAAGAGCCTCCCCCACTTCATTAAAGAATTTGAGCTTTCTTCTGCAGGCACTAAACTTTCGACTGCAAAGGCGGTGAAGCAGTAATATTTGCATTTTATTACTTTTTTGTTCCTTGCCAGCAGGAAGTCACATGTTGGCTTTTAGAAGGACGACAGCAGAGAGGAGAATAGATTGCTTGGAGGAGAGTAGAACCGGTTCTTCCACTCCCCAGTCTAGATTGAACTCACCTGTTAAAGTCTTTAGCAACTTTACATTTTTCCACTCTAGCACTTATCTCTCCTGCAGTTAATCCCTGGGGTGATCTCAAACTTCTATCTCCCCTAACGAAGCCACGTTTAGAGAAGTTGCTGTCTTGGACTAAGATGCTGGTGGTAGACAAGGAAAAAAGTGAAAGATACGCAAGGCTTGGCGACTGGCTGAAGGTGGCAAATGAGGGAGGGAGAAAAGGCAAAGAGGACTCTAGGTTTCTAGACAGAGCAGCTGTGTGGATGCCGGCTCCCCTCACCGAGACTGACCACCCCAGAGCAGTAAGCGGAAGAGGGGAAAGACAAAGAATCCCGTTTGGATAGCCCATTTCATATGCCTCCAGGCCCCAAGGACGAAAACCCATTATTGTTTCCAAGCCCAATTTACTATCTCACATCGTGGCTTCCAGGCGATCCGCCAGCCTTCCAGAGCCTCAGCTCCTTAGAACTTCGAAACACATAACCTTTCGCGACTATAACCACGCCCGCACCCCGCAGTTTTTCGGGCCTAATCTACCCACCACCACCTGCGGCCCAGCGGTCTTCCTTCGACTCGCGCGCGCGACGCCGGGGAGCCCCACGCCAGGCAGCCCCACCCTGAAACTCACTTTTGCGGGCCTCAGACACCTTCTCGGCAGCCCGCTTCTCGGCCTGCAGCAGCTGCTGAATCCCCTGCGACTGACTGGCCATGGCGGCAGCGATTCTGAGACCGAGGTAAGCGGCCTAAGGCACCTAGAAGGCCCCTTGGGTCAGGTGACCCAGCCGCCCACAATCTACGCCTGCGCCGCGCCCCTCCCCATGGTCAAGTGACCGCGTAGCGTAGCATCAGCTGACAGCTCTTGGACTGGTGATTTAGGAGCTATGGGGCGGGGCGGAGGAGGGTAGAGCGGAGCAGCTCGACTGCGCCTGCGCAGGGTCTCCGTTCTCCTCCCGTCTACCGGTCCTGGCCACTTTCAATGTCTGCCGCGTTGCTGGTTGGCTCAGTGTAGCCGCCCTGCCACGTCGTTATTGCCATAATCCCTCAGTTTGCAGTATGCTAACATTAAGGTCAAGAGAGGAGGGGCCAACCCAAATTACTTTCCTCTTACTCTTCGCACTGCTCTATTCCCTCCCTTTCTGGGACTTTGTTTAGCACTCACATTTTATAGGGGAATAGGTTGGAAAGATTCTTGTCAGTTCCGGGGATAGAGTCTTCGGTTGCAAGTTAGGAGATTTGGGACCAAGTCTGCCACTAACTTGTGTGATTTTGGACAGGTTGCTGTTCCTTTCTGAGCCAGAGTTCAGGAACGACTGGACTGTTTCCCATAAATATTTTATGAAAGCCTGCTGTGATCCTAGACCACTGTTGATACTGAGGACATCGCAGAGAGCAGGACAAACAAGGTCCCTGGCAGAGCTCACAGTTTATGGACACATGACAGGGTATTTTAAATAGACAATTGCAAACTGTGATAAAGTCATGAAGGAAAAATGCAGGGTTTTGTGTAAGAAGTAAACTTTAGTAAGGAGAGAGGGATGTGGCAATGTCTCTGAATGCTGTACCAAGGAAGTGGTGTTTGAAGTAAGATCTTAAGGCCGGGCACAGTGGCTCACGCCTGTAATCCCAGCACTTTGGGAGGCTGAGGTAGGCGGATCACTTCAGGTCAGGAGTTCGAGACCAGCCTGGCCAACATGGTGAAACCAGTCTTTACTAAAAATACAAAAATTAGCCAGGCGTGGTGGAGCGCGCCTGTAATCGCAGCTGTTTGGTAGGCTGAGGCAGGAGAATCACTTGAACCCGGGAGGCGGAGGCTGCAGTGAGCCGAGACGGTGCCACTGCTCTGCAGCCTGGGCGACAGAGCAAGACCCTGTCTCAAAAAAAAAAAAAAAAATTAAAATTAAAATAGGCTAGGCGCGGTGGCTCACGCCTGTAATTTCAGCACTTTGGGAGGCTGAGGTGGGTGGATCATGAGGTCAGGAGTTTGAGTCCAGCCTAACCCACATGGTGAAACCCCGTCTCTAGGAAAAATAAAAAAATTAGCTGGGCATGGTGGCGCCCACCTGTAATCCCAGCTACTCACGAGAATGAAGCAGGAGAATCACTTGAACCAGGGAGGCAGAGGTTGCAGTGAGCCGAGATCACACCACTGCACTCCAGCAACAGAGCAAGACTCTGTCTCAAAAAAAAAAAAAATTTAATTGTTTAAAAATAAAATAAGATCTGAAGAATAAGAAGTTACCCAGGAAAGGATAGTGGGGGTTGGAGACGGTAGGCAATGATTAGGGAAAAAGGACCAGCCTATGCGGAGTTGGGGAGGGGTCAACTTGGCACAGAGATGTCTCCCCATCCACAGTGAATAGTGAAATAGGAAGCCAGGGGTTGAGTTTACAATACCATAGGCCCTTGTCATCCCTTCACTCACTCCTCACAGAAACTTTGATACTGTTACTAATTCCTTTATATATTGACCAAACTGAACCTCAGAGAGTCCCAAAGTCTCTGAGCCAAAAGTCATGCCCCTATTAACATGCAGTCAGGGTATTTGAATCCAGTCAGGACTGCAGAGTAAAACCTCATAGCTACTGCTCTTCTGCAGGAATCTTGTGGGCTGAGGAAAGGACCAGGTGACCTCTAATCCCAGCACTTTGGGAGGCCTGTAATCCCGGCACTTTGGGAGGTCTGCAATCCTAGCACTTTGGGAAGCTGAGGCAGGCAGATAGCAAGGTCAAGAGATCGAGACCATCCTGGCCTCCATGGTGAAATCCCATCTCTACTAAAAATACAAAAATTAGCCAGGCGTGGTGACACGTGCCTGTAGTCTCACCTACTCTGGAGGCTGAGGCAGGAGAATTGCTTGAACCCAGGAGGTGGAGGTTGCAGTGAGCTGAGACCGTGCCACTGCACTCCAGCTTGTTGACAGAGTGAGACTCCATCTCAAAAAATTGAAAAAAAAATGTGCTTTTAATAATCTTTAGTCAGAGATACGTTCTCTTAGAGCCAAACTTTGATGTGATTTTGTGTGTACTGAACCCGTCCATCTATATATAAGCAGTGGCTAAAACACTGTTTTGGAGCAGCCTGATGAAACCTCCCAGTCTGTATTCCTTGGTCTTCAGTCTTCAGTAAGGCTTCTGAATAAAACAAACTTAATCATTTTCTTTCTTTTTTTTTTTTTGAAGCAGAGTCTCACTCTGTCACCCAGGCTCGAGTTCAGTGGCAGGATCTCGGCTCACTGCAACCTCCACTCCCGGGTTCAGGCGATTCTCCTCCCTCAGCCTCCCCAGTAGCTGGGATTACAGGCATCCATCACCATGCTTGGCTAAGTTTTGTGTTTTTAGTAGAGATGGAGTTTTATCATGTTGGCCAGGCTGGTCTCGAACTCCTGACCTGACATGATCCAACACCTCAACCTCCCGAGGTACTGGGATTACGGGCGTGAGTCACTGCAACTGACAGAACTTAATTCTTTAAAAGCTTGATTTTTTTCTTTGGTTGACATCAGAAAACACAATTCACAGTCAGGTGTGGCTCACTTGTAGTCCAAGGTACTTGGGAGGCTGAAGCAGGAGGATCCCTTGAGGCCAGGAGTTAGAGGCTGCAGTGCACTATGATTGTGTCTATAAATGGCCACTGCACTCCAGCCTGGGCAATGCAGGGAGGTTCCATGTGTAAAAATAAAAAGAGATCAAAAGAAAGAAAACACATTCACTCAGCCAATCAACGGAGGACAGCATATCTAGAAGTGGCATGAATATTAAAAGACATGCACACATTTAGAGGTAGCATGAAGATTGAAAGAGATGATGGTACCCCAAAACTGAAAACAACCCAAATGTTCATCTACTGATGAGGAGATAAACAAAAGGTAGTGTATTCATACAATAGAATAGTATTTGGTTATAAAAAGGAAATAAAGCTACAACATGGATGAAACTTGGTAACATGCTACATGAAAAAAGCTGGGCACTAAAGACTACATATTGTACAGTTCTGTTTATATGAAATGTCCAGAATAGACAAATAGATACAGAAAGTAGTTTAGTGGTTAACCAGGGGCTGAGGGGAGAGGAATGGGGGAGTGACTGCTCACTGGGGTATGGGGTTTCTTTTTCGGGTGATGGAAATGTTATGGAATTAGTGGTGATGGTTGCATACCCTTGTGAATATATAGAAAAAAATTAACACTGAATTGCATACTTTAAAAGTACAGTATGTGAATTATACCTCTTTAAAGGTGTTATTAGCGAGAGATAATGACAGATGTGAAGCCCTTGCAATTTCTAGTCTGTAGTAAGAGCCAGGAAGTGGAAGTTGTTATTTTTATCTGGCTAGGGGGTGATTGTTTGATTTACAATCTGGTCCTCCACTTAACAAAAGCCTTCAAGTTAGGCTTCCTCTAATAGCTCAGTTCCTCGAAGCATCTAAATATCTACAAATTCCAGAATTCTTTTTGCTTGCAGCATTTCAAAAGTTTATTGTGTAAAGGGAAAAAAATTAGACAATCCTGCCTCTGAAATTTTTAGACTGGTTTGAATTTTCCAATGATCTGAGTGGGTGTTTGTTGTTAGAACTTGAATACCCTGGGGAGGTTTCCCACAATAACTAGGAAATTAAGGGTGAAGCCATTGCCCGCCCCCACCCCCGCAGAAAAAGTTTTGAAATTCACAAAGTTGTCTGAAAGACGCAGAGCAATCTCAGACCTTGCTGCCCTGACCAAGGAGTGTATTAGCATGTCAAAGAAAGGAGTGTTTCTATTCTGAGGAGCAGTTGTTCATAGACAAGCTGGCAACAAGGAGAAGTAGCAAGGGCATTCTTCACACACCCCAGCTCAGCTAGGACTAAGGTAGGTGGGATCTCTCACTGCCTTGGCTAAGAGAGCAAGATGGCCTCAGTTCAAATCCCCAGCCCTGTAATTTAGCAAATGTAACCACTCTGTGGCTTCAACTCCTCATATGTTAAAAATGAGGCTAGCATGCCAAGGTGGGTGGATAGCTTGAGCCCAGCAGTTTAAGACTACCCTGGGCAACATAGTGAGACCTCTTCTCTACAAAAAAGGCAAAAAATTACCCAGGCATGGTGGCACAGGCCTGTGGTCCCTGGAACTCCAGAGGCTGAGGCGGAAGGATTGCTTGAGCCTAGG